TGGGTTTTGTCTGCTTTTCTGATTCTGTAACCAGTTCTTTTGTTATATTGTCGGTCTATATACATATTGAGTATAAAAATTGAAATCAGCATATATGTGCTGTTGTATTTCAATGACTAGCCGATGTGTTGGTGGTCACTGTAGAATTCACGGTGATGGATCTATCCCAAATCAGGAAACAAGAAAAAAATCTATAAATCAAATTTTTTCAACTAACCTGCTCCGAGGAGGACCATTTCAGCCTAAAAATTATGTTGAAGTCCATGCAAACTACTGCCCCACAGCCCAAAACAATAATATCTGACGCAGATAATCAAATCAAGTTTTTATTAATTTTTATCATTTGCTGGCTTATGAAAATTCACTAAGCGATTACAAGTTTTCATCATATGTAATTCATTCATGTCAATGAATATTTCGTCACGAATCTCCATTAATTTGTGTCTCGTGTTAAAAATATCTCACTGACCTTAAAAGGTCGGCTTTGTCATTTCACTCCAAACAAGATTCTGTATGAGTATATCCACTGATATGCGAGGGCCAACTTTATTTCTGGTTGGACGCAAACGTTTCTCTTATCGTGAAAATTACACAGGATTAAACTGCGAATCTTATTTTCTCCCTAATCATACTCCAACCTCGTTCAACAAATGATCACTTCGAAGTTTGTACTGTCTGGTCGCTCAAGTTGCAGCTTATACCATGTGGGCTGCCATGTTCCATAACATCTGGTTATCCTCGTTACTACTTTCATATTTGCAGATACTCATTCATACCCTACACTCCAGAATTCAAATATTTAACGGCACGTGATTCTATGGCTGATGAAAACATGAAAATCCAAAGTTGGTTCATATAACAGTGTGACTTGATAGCATCATACTTTGATTGAATATTATATCAAATGGACAAAAAACAAAATAAATTTGTAAAAGCTTACTCTAGAACAGTGGTTCTCAACCCTTTACTGACTGCGTACCACTTTACATTTTTTTTTCACTCTGGCCGCGTACCACCGAAAAAGCCCCCTTCTGTCGTGAGGAACGATGGCACAAGGCACGAGTTATGGGAGTATTTTATAATGTGGCACTACAACCTTCGTGACCTAATTCACAAGACAGACGAAAACACGGCCATCTCGATTCATTCGTGGACAATAGCAGGCGAGGGCGATCTCAAAAGACTGGACTAGCCCATAGGTTTCTCCTGCCCTTGACCCCAGAAAGATTCTTCCTACACTTTATTATAGCTAAATTGTTTATACTTATTTTGAGAGTGTTGGCGCTTATAGGCTAGTTTTCGTGTTTGAAACCCTCATTTTTAATAAAATAAATCAACCATGTGCCGCTTACAGGCACTGATAGCTTAGTTTAGACTAGTCTATCGCAGCATTTGCGAGACTCGTTTTTGATTTCAGCAACTAAATTGAAGCTCCCTTGAAGACATAATGACATTTAATTCACAACCATTTTTTTGAAACACAACTGAAAACTGACAAATAACACGCAAAACTACAAAAACGAGGCAATGTTTACTTTACAACCATACTTGAATATCTGTCTGAGCGACAGAAGTGTCTGAGCGGCTGCAAAAATTGCAATTGTTACTTCATTGTTGACTTTTTGCTGATTAGTAATGGTTACGGAAATAAACAAGGAAATTGATGCCCGGGGAAACATTGATTAAGGCCGTTCAGCGAATACATATATATGGAAAATAAAGCGTTGTCGATATATTTTAGCCAACTTAAAAATTAATTGTTGCAACAATTGAAAGCTGCTCGCGTACCACTCGAACATCTTCCACAGGTTGAGAACCACTGCTCTAGAATCAGGTAGGCTATTCAAAGCCTATTGCCCAGGGGTCGGCAAGCTTTTGTCGCTCGCGGGCCAAAATTAAGGGTTGCAAATCTTGGCGGGACGCACATATTTTTTCAGGAAAGTTAAAAACTGAACGGATGGCTGATAAAACACATTTTTTACACACATCAGAAATTTCAGATATTCAATAGCGAGCAAACATTGCGACGACTCGTGAACTCAAGTCGTCTTACTGGGGAAAAAAATTACAAATGACTTTTAATGTGAAACTTGTTGTTGCATTGAGCTTTATAGCTTTCCGACATCAGGTGACACACTGTATGAAGCCAATATCAGAACATTTTCTAAATGAGCATCACCAATCCTAGTTCCCGCTTGTTCTTTGTAATGTTCATTTTCGAAGATAATTGTTCGCACGCATGTACTTCCAAACATCGATTCGAATTTTTTCGCATGTTTTGTCAAATTTGGATAGAGATTTGATTTCCTTCAAGAAGATAATTTTTATAAAAATCGAGCAGTGACACATCTCTCGAACAGAAAATGGGTTTTATTCTCTCAAGAAGCCCCATTCGAATATTTTCTGCAACCGTATCCACGTTGACATCAAATGGAGTACTGAGCACCCTGAATTCGTTTTCAAGAAAACGAAAGTCAGCAAAGCGGGAACGAGAACAACAACGGCATAATAACAAAACGATCCATAAGTCCTCTCCATGTCCAACAATTTGCTCCTCGAGCGTAGTTTATACAATTAAATTATAATTAAAATTTCGTTTCGTTTCGTCGCTAAATTCGAGATGGGATATTTTACCCCGTAAGCAGGATAAGGTGCGCGGGCCCCTAGGTTGCCGACCCCTGCTATTGCCGGACTGTCAATACCGATTTGTTCATTAAATAAAACGTTATTGCTTGATCTTGACAGTCACAGCATTAACATTACATTATTATTTTCATGAAATCTTCATGAAACTAGGCGATGAGGAACTAGAATTAAATGCCAACAACAGAGGATAAACACCTTACTCGCAAATGTGCGATGTCTGCAAGTTCTGGAACGAGTTGCTATGTCATCAAAGGCCGTTTCAGAACTTCGATCGATTTTCGTAGTAGTAGAAAACTAGATCGACCATATGTAAATAGTAGGCGACAAAAATTCTAAAAAAATATATATAGAATGAAATTCATAAAACAAAATGTTACCAAGATAAACCCACCCTTAATCAATATGTACCTGCTATCCCTTAGTTTTTCTCGCTATTGTCCGGCATTATTTCCCGAAGACTATTTGACAATGGAATTGATTTTGTCTCGCTATTCTCTGCCGTTAACTAACATTATTGGTATTCCAGACCGTCAAAAAGCTTATGCTTGCTCAAGAGCGTCCTGAAAACAAAGGTTCGCAAGTTTCTCTTACTACAGGTCAGTAGGTCGATGAAATAATATCGAAGCGGTAAAAGAAAAACTTCGAAAACCTTGCAACATATTTTGTCAAAGTCTCGAATTTGTATTCAAAGAGTTCAGTGAGCTTTGTAAATTCAAACGAGCTGGGTTAATAGTTTTTCCTTCTGCCGGAATAAATTTGCTACCTACTTCGTTCTGCCATATTTTCAAAACCTACGGAAAGATCCCTGATCTTTGGTTAGAGAAGGGATATTTTATAAAGCTTAAAATATGTAGAAAAGTTGTAACATTACTCTCTAACGAAAAAATCGAGCATATCAACAAAGGTATAATATCGTCAGGCTAATAACCGAATTGCGTAAGTCATTTTTGGCGGTTTCGAGTTTTTTTATAAAATAGGTATTTATGTAATGTTGCGCACCTGTCTGTTAACTCAGTTTTTAATTTAAGAATTCCAAAACCCATAAAAATTGAGATTTTGTATGACATGCAAATTAGTTCAATTGTTTCGTCATAATGAATTATCATTGTTAACGTAGAACTATTGTGACGTCACAAAGGTAAAATGCCCTCGGCGAAGGATTTTCGAGTTTTTGCATCTCAGATTCTAGCTTAGCGCTTATAAATTTGAATGTATACTACAGTATAGGAAGGCGTGCACTTGTGATATTCACTGTCTGAGTCCAATTCACCTTGGTTGGCTACTATATAGGGATACATTGCTGTTTTATTCTTTATATTTAATCTTAGTCTTATTTCGGTGGGTGTGCAGAGCGTGTTATAATGATGAAATATATATTTTTGAACATAAAAACTAATGTAATTGAAACAGATTAGCTATTTTGGGGATCAGACATCGTAGATACTAAGAATTACATTCGTTTTTGGATTGTTTGGTTTTCAGGACTGGTGCATATAGTCAAGTTGCAAAAATGCGTATGTCCCCAAGTCATAGACACATTTCTGCCTAAGTCACAGTGCGCCATTATGACGTCATATGATTGCGTCATACAAATTAACTTAATTCCGGCTACGATCAAAAAATTGAACTATGGCAAATTATTGACTCTCAGTGGCATAGCAATATCATTAGAAAGTTTTTTACGTTTTTCTCAAAACTGCTGAAAATGACTTGCGCAATTCGGTTATTAGCGTGACGATATGCAAGTTTGGTTAGAGATTAGGGCGTGTCACGTTGGTGTGAGAGAATGATCGAATATATATAAGAACATATATCTAAAATTCTACATTGAAGATTGTTAACTATTTGCAGTGGGTCACTAGCTGACTTCGCTCTGATTTATATATTGATTCGAAAATAATGCGCAATTCTGTGTGAAATCGCGTGCGAATCATTTCTTAAAACGTTTAGTCGAAGAATTCCTTGTGTGAGGTCAAAAAGATGGTTGCTTTGACGGCCAACTTACCAAGCTTGCCAAATCAAGCGAATCGTAAATGTCAGATCAAGTCAGAAAATTCTTTGTCACTCACGAGCTCGCAATTGGTGCTTCCAACGCCATTCTCGCGTTTCTGAGTGTTGGCCTACGATCTCATCAAATTTCTTGAATAAAGCTCTTCAAATCTATATTCAATGCCAAGCATATCTTGTAATAGGAAAGTATTATAGGCTAGCGTGCTTGATATTCGATCACAATGAGCAACAAATGCAATGTGGTAAGCAATAAAATAGAAAGTCGTAAATAACTGGTTTAAACTGGCCGTGAGCTACAATAAAGCACTTGAGTATATATAATGATATTGGCTCAGCGTGTCATTTTGATGCGAATGAAAACCAATGATGCGCCTGTAGCTCGACTAGCAGCGATATTTATTTTAGAATTTATTATAAGCGACTTTCAGTGTAGATTAACCCTCAGCGTGGGTATTACTTGAATATTCTTTTTTTTTGGAATACGAGATAGGATAGATATGCAATAAATATGAATCTTCCTAAACGTTTGATGTGGAAATTGATTCCGAACGAGGTAGGCCTGCAACGGAGGTTCTCTCAATACCACACAAGTTCCGCTTCTTCCTCGGGGTAAGTATTTTCTCGATACTATTATATTACATTAGTGTTACTAAATCGAGTCCATCTGTCACCTCTTGTTGGATATTAGTTCCATACTTATCCATTTCTTCTCATTTATAATCAATGCTTGACGTGACAAGTTTTTGAAGTAATAATAATTTGTCATATCCGAAGCAATGGAAATCATGTAGAAGCCAATTTGCCCAATAAAAATAACTGATGATTTTGCGCCATAAATTTTTTATCACCCACTTTCCACGGTAAACATGGCATATTATGGTAAAAATAATTCTAGTTAAAAAGTAATATTCTATAGCAGGGGTGGCCAACCTGTTTTCGACTAAAATCTTCAAAATAGCTCGCGATCGACTGGTCGGTAAAAGGTCATAAACAAAAATGTATCAATACTGAATACGCAGATAACCTCACACATTTTTATACTCTATTCAATTTGTTAATTTGATTATATAATTGTAAAAAACTTCATCCCTCGTTTTAATCAAAACGAAGCAAAGAAATGGCTGGACGCCGATGCAGAGCTACGTTTGCAGAAACTTCTTTGATGCCTCGTTTGCATCTTATATTGGAAACGAAACAGCAGCAAAATTCACACTAAAGTTAATTGTGTTTGTACATAATTTGGCTTGTAGCTACATGTTTTTTCATGTGAGATGTTTTTTGTGTGGCGTTATTACGCATAACAGGTACCCGGCACTGCATTTTATTACGCAAATATATTATGGTAGTATTTTATGTTCCACCCATTTCAATTTTTGGCCGGTACGTTATTTGATAGTTTTTTTTTTCATTTAAAATGTTTTCTGTGTGCCTTTTTACCTAGAAGTATGATGAGTGTCCGCCATTGGATTTATTACGAAAATATATGTTATTATATTATGTTCCATCCACTTCAATTTTTTGTCGATACGCGAGTACATTTTATCCAATTTTACCGGTCCGCCAGGTTGAAAGGGTTGGAAACCGCTGGTATAGTATATGGCGCTGAGAACCACACAGTATTATCAAAACTTTCTGTGCAATTCCAGCTATCGTTGAACTAAATTTCCCTTTTATTGTTCATAGGTGACACCATGATTTCAAAGTATCGCATTTCCAAAACACATTAATGCTTTTAGGAGATTAATATCGTTTGAAAAAATTGCGGAAGTTCTCGTCAATCATTTACTTTCTGTTCAAACAGCGCAACGCAAATTTAACACTAAATATATCATTAGGTATTCTGATTATATTTCCAAAAACTGACATATCAGACGTAGAAATGCATTGAAATATCGCGATTCATGGACATAAAACACGTTGAATTTTTATCCTTTGAAAATTTGTGAGGTTTACTCTTTGTCACGTGATTCGTAACTCCAAGAGTCGGAATCGCAGACTTTCAATGACGATAAAATGACTCAAAACTTCCCACTAAATCTCTAAAGAAAATTATTTTACCGTCTGTTTACCAGTTTTATATATAGGGCCCTTTTTTACGTCGTTCGCTCTGAACTGGGCTTTGTATGAGCTACCACTGATATCTAACGACATGTAAGAAACTACTATTATTCGGAAATACCGAAATTTTTCCTTACATGTCGTTAGATATCAGTGGTAGCTCATACAAAGCCTAGTTCAGAGCGAACGGCGTAAAAAATAAAACAATATATAAAACTAGTGAACAGACGGTAAAATAAATTTTTTTAGAGATTTTGTAGAAAGTTTTGAGTCATTTATCGTCATTGAAAGTCTGCGATTCCGACTCTTGGAGTTACAAATCACGTGACAAAGAGTAAACCTCAAAATTTTCAAAGGATAAAAATTCAACGTGTTTTATGTCCATGAATCGCGGTATTTCCATGCATTTCTACGTCTGATATGTCAGTTTTCGGCAATATAATAAGTGCTTTGATTATAATCAGAATACCTTATGATATATTTAGTGTTGAATTTGCGTTGCGCTGTTTGAAAAGAAAGTAAATGATTGACGAGAACTTCCGCAATTTTTTTAAAAGATATTAATCTCCTATAAGCATGAAAAAAGTAATATATTTTAACTTATCTTTCAAAACATTCTGGATCATATTAAAAAGGTAAATAAATATATCGGAAATATCGGTATAATTTTAACCGATACCGATATATGACCGATACCGAAAAAATGGCCGATGTTGCCGATACCCGATACATCTCTAGTGCATACCCAATTACTGCATGCTGTGTATATCGTATTTTGCTTGTACAGAACTATATTCTTCCTGCTTTGAAACCCACAATAATCGCAGTGTGAAACTGGTTCAAGGCAATTTTATGGGCTATGTTATTGAATTTACTCAACATCAAACACGATCGACTACTCGAGACGTGGAGATCGACCGGTCAGATCGCGATCGACGATTTGGCCACCCCTGCTCTATACCATGAACCCTGAAGTACTTATGAGACACATATAGCTATATCACGCTGGATTTGATGTATTCTTTCATTTTTTATGGAAGTGAAGACATCAAATCAAATTTACTTTTTGAAACTTCACTACTTTCAGAAAAGTTAGCTCATCGATTTCACGCAGAGAAGAAGATTGGATTTCTGTGCGAGATATCTTTATAAAGGCATTCCATCACTACCCACTGTACAAATATTTGTCGTCCGATGAAAGCAAACGCTCAGAATTTCTAAAGCAGTATTTGGATTCTGTGTATTATGTCAGTACCCGTAAAAACAACTCTGTGCTCGTTTGCTTTAGCAAGTCGGCTACCGAAACCACAACGACGTCGGTATGATTTAAATATTATGATATATATATCGATTTTTGTCTAATGTTTTCCCCGTATATCAATATAATGCAGATTTCCTCAAGCGTTCCCTAGAATTAAAATAGTATATTGTTCGAAGTGGAGTTCAATGGTCACCAGATACACGATTTTGTTCTAACGTGACAAACTGAACCAGACAACCAGTGGTTCTAAAGTTGTTAGGTTGACGTTGTTATTTTGCATTTTCTTCTTCTTGTTGTAAAATAATCGCTCTTCTGTTTAACTACAGAATCAAATGTTTCGACATGTGGTTAAAGAATGTTGTTGTCGCTAGCAGGCTATTACCTTTACTCATTTCGAAAAATTCTGTGGGGCCTACTGTAAAGTTTCGCATTCATTCTATTAGCAGAAAAATGCCTAAACAGCGAAAATACGACATATTTGGGGGGTCCGCGGATACTTCAAAGAAGCATAGGCACATAAAGTTTGAGACCCACTGAGCTAAACTAAGACATAAATATGCTTAAATATGCAATCGATAAAACAATACTTCCAATACTGCTGAAATATATGAATAAAAATAGCGAAGTATCTTATGTCTTAAATGTAACTTCTCATGGAGGGTCAAAGTAAGGATATGAAAAACGATAACAAAAATATTTATGATCGCTATTGTGTGCAAACTTTTGAAAATAACTTATAAAGAGTATACAGGGTGTCTCAAAAGTAAGTATACACTTTCAATTTTGATTTGCTTCTCAGGTACTCATCATAGAGTGCTTGAAAAATGCAAACAATACTTACATTTTGACACTGATCCATACTATGTTTTCTGACGAAATGAACGCTCTATGATGAGTAACTTAGAAGCAAATTAAAATTATATACTTATTTTTGAGACACCCTGTGTTATTCTTGAGTCGAAAATAAAACACGTACGGCACAACTAATTGTCATTTTTCATGGGGGCGAAAATACTAGATGATAGATTTTTCATTAGCTTTTGTTTGTTTCTCTGGTAATTTAGGATAATTCAACATAAAATAGCAACGTTCAGGCAAGAATGAAATTTATTAATTTGAGTTATTACTACAATTATTTCTACTCTGCAGAACTCAGAAGTGATTATCGGCGGATCTTTGCTACATCGTCCTTGTTTTGACGAAGGTGGTTGGAAAAGTTGCAGAGATGAAGATTTTGCAAAGGAATATGAACATTTCAATTTGAAAGAAATTGACAATGATGCATTTGATAAACTCAAAAGGCAAGCCGATGTAAAAAATAAACGAGTGTAACGCGCGCAGTGCTTTCGAATAGGTACAAATACATCTGTTCGCTATTTACATGGTTGTTATTAGGGTTGGAAAGCTGAAAAAATTCAAATTGACTCAACTTAACTCAATCCTATTCAACAAAATATTTTTCTGTAACTTAAAAACGACTGAGTTACGACTTATTGAGATTTATGACTTATTTAATGACGTGGGTTGTTTTTCTTGCATCAACTTGTTTGCGAATAGTCTTTTGTATGACCACTGACGTTACGTTTGCGAAACCGGAACTTGGTGGTATAAGACAATCTACAGATTCCCTGGTTGATTTCGACCACGCTCTTAGAAACTAATGAACTTTAAGAATATTAGATTTTTGTATTTGGTTACTTCCTGATTACTGAGTATATTATGAAATGGTGTGTTCTGTTCACCTGAAACGCTTATAGATCGACGTAGCTGGTAGCCTAGAAATGCCTCTTTATTACGCCATTAACTATCAGATAATCAACGTTCATGAAAATTCGTTGTTTATCACTTATGTTATTTCAAAAGGTAATTTACCCATACCCTATTTTCTCTATATTAAGTTTCTGAAAGGCAGGCTATAACGGCGTACGTCTATCTAGTGCTAAATTAGTGAGTTGTGAATTAAATGTCACAAACCAATTTTCAGATACGAATCCTGGGAATCGACAGAAATCTTACAGAAAATTCAGTCTACTGGAATACCTATGTGGGATGCAATGTTTTACGGCATAACTCCTAAGGAAGCGTGTAATGGGTCAGGAAAACGAGGATTTGATATCGGAGTGCCAGACCTATACAAATGCCAAAAACAATATGAAGTTGAAGAAATGATTCCATACATAGTGTCTGAGACACACGAGAGCAATTTACCTTCTGGAATTACACGGTTATGCAGTTATATTAATTCTGACAGATCACCAGTTATAAGTAAAACACACGATAAAATAGAAGAGACAGAATCACTCATTCCACGACACGGAAATTCAATTAGAAACCCATTTCTAATTCTTGGTATCAGTCATTGTCACCGTGCAGCAAGGTTCCACGCAAATAATAGAATGGAACTGATTACAAAACTTACGTATAATATTGATAAAGCTTATTCAAATGTGCCGTTTGAAGTTTATGTCATGCTATTTGACCCCTTTAAAACAGGGTTATCTAGTGATATTCGAAAAAGTTTTAGTTCTTAATTGTGAACATTTCAATTCTAGAATTATTTACAACAACAATATATTCATACGAAGTTTGTTGTTATACTATATATACAGAGCGATCTAACATAAGACAATGATTTCATGATTGAATATATGAACGCAAATCCCAGAATGGCTTATATGTGACGATTTTACAAGATTATTACTTAATTCATACTAACAGAACAAGTGGAGGAATTTCACTCATTAGAAAGATATGATGGCTTGTATTAAAAATAAATGCATGTTCATGAGGTAATCCTCAAATTAGTCTTTCATTTTATCAGCCGTGGCTTAAAGATAATCTATTATTAAGTATTTCAATCTCGATATAAAGTAAATTAGTTCGCCGACAAAACTTGGTCATTTGTTTTGGATAAATTATAAATAAACATGAAAAGTGACTCAACCCGTTTAATGAGGATTTATTTTAGAAACCAAATCGATTTGAAACATGATTTTTGTCCCGAAAGCATTGTTATATGAATAGAACTACACAAAGCAATTTTATTGGATTTTCTTTATAACCGGTCGTGGCCAGAAGTTGGGCATCTTAGTCCCATCAGTAAAATATATCCCAACAGTATTTTGTGCTTGCCATGGATATTGAGATAAGTGAAATATGCAGCTTCTAGTGAAAACGTTGGCCTGCTAAAATTTTGGGAAGTTGAATAACTGAGGCTGATAGACATGAATTGCCACATGCTAATTGGTACCGGTGAGGCGAGCACCCACTTAGCGAAACGAAACGAATGACGACGGTGGTGACGCCTTAAGAATTGAAAACAGTATTTTACGAATTAAAAGGCATTAGCCGAATTTTTTGTAAAATATGGGATCTCATAGCACTCATAGAAACTTTGTGGAAGAACTTTGTAGAAACTATATATTATATAGAAGTAATAGCCTTCTGGCGAATACTTCCATCTTTAAGTACTGAACATTTGAAATCTATTAGTTATGGAAAACATCTATTAGTTGTATTCAAACATACCAAATTATAATCATTCATCGTTTCAAACTAACGGTTATCTTTTTTTTGTTCGAGTATATATATATATATATATTTCGTGAGGATTGCTTTGAATTTAATTCCACTATTTGGTATGAAAAATGATCAAGGACCTCATAAACACCATTCATATAAAGAGTGGTAAAGATTTACAAAGCACTGAACAACGCACCATTTATAAAAATATGAACTATTTTGCAACAAGATAAATTTATTGAAAACATGAAAGTGAGATGACGAGTTATAGTTGTAAGTCACTCACATGTCAGAAACGCGAATGTACTGCTAAGTCATTGTGTTACAATGCATACCCACAAAAAAAGATTGTCCCCTAACTCCGCATTTGGTAAAACCTCTGGCGCAAGCTTATAATTGCAATATCGTGTCTTGATAAGCCTTAAAAACAATATTGCCCAATCTGTAATTACCTATGTCGCTCTTTAACCAGAAAGATGAGTATGAGTACTGTATATGTAAACATTCTCTAACGCTGAAAACAATTTACTTTATTCGAATAGAAAATAAAAAAATTCAATACACAAACAATGCTGCTGGATGGATATTAATTGTTGACCGGCGAATATTTTATCGTTCAATATTTTTTTACAGACATTCAATATGTTCATAAAATAAACAGACAGATGGTAAGCAAGATTTCTGCTTTCACTTTAGCAAAAATGACCAAGAAACGTTTGGATTCAGGAGATTGTGGAAATCAATTGGTTCAAAAATGGGTACTCCCGTAGTATGTGTACCAGGTATGAGTTGGGCCATAATTTGTTTTTTCGATTTTCGTTATTTTAGTTCTATTATTAGTTCGGGGACTGTCTGTGTTAGCCAAGTGAATACACTCACCTGTCCATAGTAATCAGTCCCTGTACACAACTTGATGTACAGTAGTCGAACAAAATTAGTGTGAGATTTCAAACTCTTCATAACGAAAAAATTGTCATATGGAGAAAATGCCGTTTTAGATTGTCACCGACACAATTTGCAGACATATCAAGCAAGCATTGTGGTATTTTCCCTCTCATATCCGGTCAAAAATCTGTTTGAATTAGTCAGCTGTCTTTTGGTCAGTTCATGTTTACAAAACAGATATAGCCAGATAAGAATTTAGACTAGCCAAGCACATTATTCAACTTTGCTAGTTGCCTCAGCTAGCCAACATTAGTGATGTAACAATATGTCAAATAACTTTTATGGCTATTTTTATGACGAAACAACACCAAATGCAATTTTTGTTTACTTTCGCGTGAATCCGACGCGGGCCACAGATAATGAAGCGGCGGGCCACATGTAGGGCTGCCAACTATGAAAAGTTTCAATAAAGAACACAGATTACCGTCATCATTTATTTTGTAAATTACAGGAAAGAACAATATGAAACAATGAAATGAAAATTATTTACAAGCTAAAAAGATACATTAAAACAAAGTTCAAACAATCATATAATGTTTATTTAATATTGACCCAAGCAATGTTAATAAAATTGTTATTGCTTTGGCTATTTCAGGCGTCCCAAAGCGAAATTGAAAAGAATAATTAACAGCTTGCAAATACATGAACGGAGGCAATTTTTCAAGAACGGAACAATATCAAGCACAGTGCTATAACTATCGGGCAAAACAACGTTGGAAAGAATAAAGGACAATCGCATATTTTCTAAATGCTAAAAAGGACAAGGACCGAAAAGCTTAATTAAAGTATTGTCCTTTGAAATAAAGGACGGTTGGCAACCCTAGTCACATGTGGCCCGCGGGCCTGGGTTTGGACCACCATGACCTAGGTCAGGGGTGGTCAACCTTTTTCGGCTCGTGTGCCAAAATCGGCTAAATTTACCGAACTACTGGTTTCATCTTTCGGGCTACTCCTAATACGAGACTTAATAATGTTCATAACTGAGAACAGATTAACAAGCATATGTAGATAAAAACAAGGAAAGTAATGCAGTTGCAAAGTTTTTAGGACACGAAGAATTTTCTGGAATGGCATCTCAATCAAGCAATAGTTAGTTTTCTGCACATTTCTCTTGTATTCCCTTCCCTGATCGCTTATATTTCTTTCGAAATCAATTTATAACAGTAAGATAGCAATTAACACTAACCAACATGTGCTGTAGCCTACATGAGTGTACAACTTCATAAATCAAGCAGAATTGAAGAAAAAGGGTTGCACAGACGAACTATATTACGTTAGAATGTATCCAAATGAATGTTGTGCTCTTCTCGACAAAATTTATTACGTTTGTTACGTTATAATATATTTGCCATATGTCAAAAAGAGTTTAAATAACGGATTGTTAACAAACAATAATGAATTAATGAACACCGAGTTTCATCAGATAATTCAGAGTCTTGAATCTTTTTATCTGAAGGAGAATGATCTCGTTTCCGAGGCCTCGCTCGCGTGCCAAGTTTGGCACGCGTGCCAGGGGCTGCCCGCCCCTGACCTAGGTCATGAAATATATAATAGTAAACTTTATTTTATCCCATACTTTTCTTTTAGTTGATTGAATTTTTTCTTCACAATATTATAAAGTCTGTATGAGTCAACAAGATTAACGTTTCGCATTTTGTTTTCTGCTTCCTCGGTTAGTATATCGTGCTTTTTTGTAGCTGTTTTGCTTCGCGTTTCATTGTGCCTTTTCCATATATCTGAAGCCCCAGTAAAATACTCAGGCAATAATATTTCGAAAAGTTTCAAACTGTTTTCGAACTCTTCGCTTATGCCAATGATAAGATATTCTTTCTCGATGTGTTCCTTTATAATCTCGAATCTCTTCTCGCGATATACGGTATTAACGTTACATGTATTTTCCATCCCGCAGAAAAAAATCCATTCGTAAATCGCGAGATGTACGCGACAAATATAGTGATTTAACATCACACAATCGTTTATATTCTCTTTCAACCCTTCTGGCATTTTTCTTTCTACTACTTCATCGCCATATTTCATGTAATTATAATGAGAAACGAATCTACTTAGTGGATCTCTAATCAAATTAATATATATGGGTTGTTTATAGCCATATTTTCGAAAATCAATGAAATTTAAATGTCTATTGTATATGACAGGAGGCCGCAAAGAAGCTATTTTATCAACTTGATGCTGTAACTCTTCGCCTTCGAGCTTTCTTGCAGAATAATTCCTTGATTCGTAGTCGGTAAAATTGTTCCTTACCGCAAGTTCTGATATCACATACATCATGGACCTACTTCCACATTTAGGTGCGCGGTTGTATACGACGATGCTTGATCTCGCATTTTTCACCAGCGGAGATTTGGCAAAGTTTGCCACATCATCATTCTGCGCATTTCTTTTATTAGCGACGTTTTCGAAATCACCTGGAGTTTGTTTGTTAAACACTTGGATGGACAGTATCTTTTCTTTGAAGAAATAATTCGCACATAGAAATATCATTACGAGTAAAAACCATCCAACTAGTCTTCTTTGATTTCTCCTTGAAATCATTTTTATAACACTTGAAAGACGTCTAAATAAAAATAAATCAAAATATTGATTGATATCCTAATTAGGGCTTGACTTTAAAATGATAAAAAAAATTCGTCACCTATTTAGAGTCTTTTAGACGAAGTAGTTCAAGTTCATCATTTCTATATAATTGATTGGGTACTTTCGAGCCCCAAATATAACGATCAGTTTCGGCCTTGTGGTTCGTTGGGCTCGTGCATAAAGATGCCTTGCGATCTTAACAAAGCGGCCCCTTTGAATATCCTGCCTATACCTTTTACAGGTAGCCTGCCCTGAGTACCTAAAGTTCTCTAGTTATTCGTCTTATACAAAGATGTAGCTCATTACACGTATGCGAAACAATCTCAGCTAGACTAGTATCGCATGTCTTCTTGATCATGCAAAGCAACCTTGTTAGCCCCCAGGGCATATTATCGCAAATCGACGTATTCAGCCGCCATCGAGCGTGTATATTTAGTTATGAGTTACTGAATCCGCATTAATACGGCGGGTACACATATTTCTGGAGCGCCCAAAAATGTATTACTCTAGGTAAGGGGTCACCAAACTTTTTTGACCGCGTGCCGGGTATGACTCAAACTGTGTTGAAACGGGCCGGAAAAATATTTTTGTCAATGCAATAAAATAAATTCTCAAAAGTTGGGAAATCCATTCAATTTATTCAACAATATAAATTTTACATTTCTGAAGCCTTGAATATTAAATTCTATATCGCAGCATTTTGATCAAGAACATCATAGCAAAACAAATATATATACAAGATTTCTCGACAACTATCCTGAGGTTAGCTGTTAGTAAAACAATTGCTGTCATGAATATCCGCAAGTAAGCAGTACAAAAGTTAACGAAACTTGTACTATTAGCGCAAAATACTCGTTCGACGTTTATTTTAGCACGAGAAACATACACAGCAGCAGTTTCGCCAAAAGCACACGCAACGAGAGCATCCTTCGCAGAAAACGCTGCGTACCGGTAGAGAATTTTAGCCTATTTTATCACAGCTATTCCTTGACAATTTTTGATTACTGCTATTAAACTACAACTCCTAAAAAGGATGATTGACTTATACTTAAATCTTTGAATCACGACTAAAAACTAACAAATAGCATTGAAAATCGCAAAAACGAGGTATTGTTGGAAACCACGACTGAAAATATGTCCTTGTGACATAAGTGTCTGAGCGGATGCGAAAGGGTCTATTGTGACGTCACTTTTTGCACCTTGCTGATTGGCCAATGTTACGAATTGAACACGGGAGTCGATGCTCGGGGAAACATTCCTTGGAAAAAAATTCCCTATTTTTTAGTGTTATTGCGTGCCAGATGAAAGGACGCCACGAGCCGGATCTGCCCCGCGGGCCGTAGTTTGGTGATCCCTGCTCTAGGTCATGGTAATGCAATATATAATATTAAACTTTATTTTATTCCATACTTTTCTTTTAGTTGATCGAACTTTTTCTTCACAATATTATAAAGTCTGTATGAGTCAACAAGATTAACGTTTCGCATTTTGTTTTCTGCTTCCTCGGTTAGTATATCGTGCTTTTTTGTAGCTGTTTTGCTTCGCGTTTCATTGTGCCTTTTCCATATATCTAAAGCCCCAGTAAAATACTCAGGCAATATTATCTCAAAAAGTTTCAAACTGTTTTCGAACTCTTCGCTTATGCCAATGATGAGATATTCCTTCTCGATGTGTTCCTTTATAATCTCAAATCTCCTCTCGCGATCTTTGGTATTACCATTACATGTACTTTCCATCCCGCAGAAAAAAATCCATTCGTAGAGCGCGAGATTTACGCGACAAATAAAGTGATCCAACATCACACATTCGTTTATATCCTCTTTCAACTTTTCTGGCATTTTTCTTTCTACCACTTCATCGCCATATTTCATGTAATTATAATGAGAAACGAATCTACTTAGTGGATCTCTAATCAAATTAATATATATGGGCTGTTTATAGCCATATTTTCGAAAATCAATGAAATTTAGATGTCTATTGTATATGACGGGAGGCCGCAAAGAAGCTATTTTATCAACTTGATGCTGTAACTCTTCGCCTCCGAGTTTTCTTGCAGAATAATTCTTTGATAGGTAGTCGGTGAAGTTGTTTCTTATCGCAAGTTCTGATATCACATACATCATGGACCTACTTCCACATTTAGGTGCGCGGTTGTATACGACGATGCTTGATCTCGCATTTTTCACCAACGGGGATTTGGCAAAGTTTGCTACAACATCATTCTGCACAAATCTCTTATTGGCAGCGTTTTTGAAATCACCTGAAGTTTGTTTGTTAAACACTTGGATGGACAGTATCTTTTCTTTGAAAAAATAATTCGCACATAGAAATAGCATTACGAGTAAAAACCATCCAACTAGCTTTCTTTGATCTCTTCTCGAGATCATTTTTATAACACTTAAAAGACGTCTAAATTAAAATAAATAACAATATTGATTGATATCTTAATTAGGACTCGACTTTGAATTGATAAAAAATATTCGTCAGTTCGTCAAGTCTTTTAGACAAAGTAGTACAAGTTGATTAGTTCTATAGGCTATAGCTGATTGTGATTGGGTTATTTTCAAGCTCCAAATATAACGATCAGTTTCGGTCTTGTGGTTTTTTGGACTCGTGCATAAAGATGCCTCGCGATCTTAACAAAGCGGCCACATTGAATATTCTTCCTATAACTTTTACAGGTAGACTGAGTATCTAAAGTTTTCTAGTTATTCGTCTTTTACAAAGTAGCCCATTACACGCATGCGAAACAAACTCAGCTGGACTAGTATTATCTTCTCGATCATGCAAAGCAAGCTTGTTTGCCCCCAGGGCATATTATCTCAAATCAGCCTGTTAAGCGTCTGCCGAGGAGGCGCAGTTCTTACCACTTCATGACGGTTCATGTCACGAATGAACCGCGGCGTCTCTTGCCATGGTTTTATAGCGCTATTACCAGTATATTCACAAAGTCATGTACCAGATTTTAGTTTATCATGCGAAATTATATTTACCTAAACCTGAAACCTAACCCCAAATCAATCAAAATTGAATCCATCGGGAAAACGTTCCAACTTACCCAAAGTTTGACACCATCAGGAGAAAATCCTGCCCTTACAGCCTACATGCCTTGGTTTGTAGCAGCACAATTTTACCCACCATGGTTTTCCATTTGCTGCCGTGGTACCCCGCCTCACGTTTGTGACAGCTAAAAAGTTAGCCGCCATGATTTGACCATAGCGGCCATGTTTTGGAAATCCCGCCATGGCTTTGCGGCAGTTTCAGACGTCGCAAAATACCTAAAACTGCACTTGCCAATGAGCGTGTGCATTTAGTTCTGAATTACTGTCTCAGCGTTCCTCTTTTTATAAATCTTGGTGCAATCTGTATCGATTTTATTGTCGGAAACTTTGTACTGGAAAAATATGCCCCTGGAAAGTGAAAAAAGGTATCATGATTATTGCAGTGTGAATAGCGATTACTCCCTTTTTAAATGATGTAAATAAGGTTATATTCTTTTGGCAAGATTTTATGTCAAGATCGGGATATATAATTTAATAGGGCAATTTTCCATGGCAAGATATGAATATATAACAAGTATTCATTGTCATTAAGCTGACATCATCAAATTGAAAATTCATTGATAAGTACGATTGTACATTAGCAAACCTAATATATATATCCTCATCTATACTTCCAGCTTATTGGAGCGGAAATTTTTATTCCGTTACTCTATTGATATAGATAAGTAAAAATATCCATTTTTTGGCATTTTTTCTTTATTACAAGCTAAGGAAAAGCGACCCCCATAATCCCTTTCAGCTGAACCACTGTGGAGATAATGAGAATCCGAATATTTACAAATGCAAGTTTTAAAATTACAGTCGTCATCTGAAAAAGTACGTTAATGTTTTTTTTGCTGTAATGAGCGACAACTTTATCAATTAAAAAGAAATGAATGTGCATCAGCTCTTTTAATTATCTAATCAACAAACAGAAAACTGGAAAAACAAAGCATTGGTACTTCTACATTATGATGGAATGATTCTGATCAATCATCTCTCAGTGACCAGTGAAAGAGGACCAGTCTACCGAAGACTAAAGTTTAATCATATATTTACGGTTTAATCAATAGACAAACCAGAAGCATAGTAATGTGTATCACTTTTAGTTATTTGTTTGCGAGTATAGCTAAGATCTAATTGGATGTTTCCCCGAGCATTGATCTCCGTGTTTATTTACGTAACAATGGCCAATCAGCAATAACTCAACAATGTGGTAACAATTGAAATTTATGCGACCGCTCAGACACTTGTTTTGCTCAGACAGATATTCAAGATGGTTTTAAACATTGCCTCGTTTTCGTTTTAAAATAAGCATACGTTTTTTGTCACACTGAAGTATGGGAAGAATTTTTATAAGGGTCGGGGAAACATCCATACCGTTACTGTCTTGTAAACATCGCAAACTGAATGAGGGATGAAATGTTTACAAGATATTATTTGCATATCATTCCAGACGAGGGCGCTGGTGCGGCGTTGGAGTTCATAGATAGTAGACGAACAAAACAAACAAACTTAATAACAGTTTAGTTCACTCGGAGCGGTCTGCCTGCGAGGTTATCTTTCTTTCTATGCTGCTAACGGCTGACGGACAACTCAACAAGCGTTTAGATTCTCGTTGTATTGCGTTTTGCACTTTCATCATTGAGTTATTTGTCGATAACTGGCTGATTTTTGAGATGAACTGGTAGGGCATCGGTACCGTCCCCCTGTACTCTGTCATACTGCCATGTGTCTTGTGATTACTTGGTTACCGTTACCGCTGCTGATATCAGCACTGTAGTCTATGTAGCAGTGGTATTTTTACTGCTGTACTGCTATGCCTTTTTCGAGATTTCAGGTCAGCAAATTTTGGGTCTAGCCTATATGCAAAAATTGTTGAGCTAAGCCAACTAGAAGTGCATGTGGTACGGTACTATACTATACCAGACCCCAATTTTCATGTTAAATTATAATTTCTCAATAGTCTGATAGTAGGCTAGTCTATTAGGCGTACTGTAATAATTAATTTTTTCAGGGTTTAATTACCATACCGAGGACACTGGACAGTACTGTCAGACCGTATCTATGCTGGTGGGAGATATGTGCCTACACTTTCAGACTTTAAATTAATTAAATTCGTTCACTTTTTGTATTTTGACAGTGTATGTAACTGCTAAACTAGGCCTAGAGGTTGAAATACATGTTATACTCTTATAGCATTTGGTGAGTAATGTGCTGGTACTGTTCCCTGTATACTGATACGGTAGAGTCAGATAGTCGTATACAGCCTGCTTTTGGATAAATAATAATCAGTGGCATGGATATTACATCAGGAAAACAAGGGTCATCAGATCATGGTACAAGAAGAAATACAAGGAGTACTTCAAACCAGGATAGAGAGAAGGTAAAATTTTACAGTTAATGTGTGATTTCAGAATTTATGCAATACCTAACCTTACTATGTTGTGATCATAAAGTTGTAATTAGTTTGGTCATTCGATATTACTGCTGCTGTTGCTGTAAAATTTGAATCTCTCTAAAAATTGCACGATGCATGAAAATCATTAATTTCAAGAGTAGTGTATTTTTTTTAATATTGACTTTTAATAACTATTATATCTGCACCTAACATGATAGTTTCACACTCTATCCAGCATGCAGTGATTGTATACAATTTTACAAAAATACATAATTCTGTAATTTCTACCTGATGTGTACCTGCTTCATAAACATTACATGTTTTTACAAGGAAGGAGTATAGGAATATTGATTATTGAGTTATCATATTTGGCATTGTGATAAATATACTCCCATGCTTCATCATATTGCAACCATTGGATATTTGAAATTACCGACTGCAATAGAAATCTTAAAGAGTTTTGGTTCTGCTATGTGTAGTTTTTTTGAAGATGAATTGTCCTAAATCCAAACTAATTTGAGGCGTTGTATTCTCATGTTGTGTTATATGTAAATCATATTATTACAATATCTAAAACAACTGAGGTTGTCTGATTCTCAATTGTGTGATATTCCAAAATTCTTTCTGACACCAAATATTCGAATTGAATTCATTTCACTTATTCAAATGTTTTCACTTCATGAATTTGACATATCATAATTTTATATGCTATCAATTGGGTTACTATAGGACCAACTACTTAGTGGATCCGTATACATGTGAAGCAAGAATTACATGTGAAGGATGCGGTAGCAAGTCACAGCAATTCATAGTTGAGTTATGTTTGACTGAGGATGTATGACTTTGGTCAGATTAAATGTTCGAGTAATATATTTGTGTTATTGTGTAGCAATACCATTAAATCACTTAATTAATAAAGCAACATGATTTGCTGGAAAAATGATAAAAGCGGGAAAAAAATATTAATTTTGATTATTGAGATTCTCAGAAATTTTGTTCATATCGATAATTTTGGACATCCCGAGTAACCAATGGATAATGATTTTAATTACCAGGTATCCAAAAAATGTAGCCTAATAATTTCTGTATATTGCTCATAGTGATAAACATTTAACAGGAAAATGCAGACAATGGCAAAAATCAATCATCTTCTGGCAATGCAAATAAGGATTGTGAAACGGGAACAAGTGACACATCAAAGAAAAGACAAAGTGAAAGAGTGATTAGAGCTGCAAATGGAGATGTTTTAGAATACACAACAGAGGATGATGTCACCTACAGACCTATGGGTAAATTATTTGAAAAAATTGGGAAAAAAATACATAAATTCTCAGTAGATAATTTGGTACTCCTGTAATGTGGGTACCAGGTTTGGGTTGGGCCATAAATTCATTCCGATTTATTTTCCTCATTTTATTTCTATTACGAGTTCGGGGACTGTCTGTGTAAGCCAAGTGAACATACCTCCTGCCCATAGGTTTCAGTCCCTTTACACAACTTGATGCAAAGTAGGCGAACAAAATTAGTTACCTCCATATTGGTACACTCGCTTCTGGAGCGCTGTAGGCTGACACAGACACAGACAGTCCCCGAACTCGTAGTATAATCAAAATAAGGAAATTTGGAATAAAATTATGAACTAGACCTAATCTGGTACACACACTACCAGAGTACTCTTGTTTTTGTTCTGTTTAACTTTCTGACTTTTTGCACTGTAAAGTAATCAAATTGATCCATCCATATCTGTTCAATCTGTTAATGTTAATACATCATGCTTTACATATATTGCTTCCTTCTAGGATTTTCCTAACAATTTTATATAAATTGAACATAAAATGAAATCTTTTAATTAACAATTTTCGTTTCTGTTATTTTAACTTATTTGAAATGTTTTAAAATCTTATAAAAATATTTTCATATGTATGTACTACAAATGCTAAGATTTCAATTATAGTGACTCTGTAAAACATAAATTTTATTCTTTTTGTTTTCCTATTTTTTTAGATTCCGCTTATTTGGCAACTGAAAGACCAGATAACCCATATTTTATCTGTACCATACAAGAAATTAAGGTGGTAAGTATCTTTAATTCTTCAATTATGCTGCTCATTCACAAACTTCAGTTGATTTTATTTTAAATCAGGTTTAGAGAGAATAATTTTGTGTAAAATTTCGGGAAATTAATCGTATTTTCGAAAATTGGAGCATAATATATGCCCAATGCTAATGTTCTTTTGGCTATTTTAGTTCCATATTTTGTTTAGTTGAAAAATGATAAGAAATTATGAAATACTGAAATATTCTTGTACGTAAATTTTAATTCTATTCAAATGGAAAGGGTTGACTTACGAATATTTCTAATTTTTGAACAATTTAGTGACTCCTGTTCAGCCGTTTATTAACCCTTGTTGACTTAATTTCTATTTATTGATTTTTGGTATTGAGAAAGCATTTATAATCGTTTTGCTTTTATAACAATTCCCAATGCTCACTCTTGAAACACTTCATTTCATCATATGTTTATTGTTGGACCAAATTTTCTTCCCAGAGCAAACGGGACAACGCTATTGTAGCAGTCAAGTGGTACTACAGACCTACAGAAGTGCCTGACTTAGTCTATCAGATGCTGGTCAAGGATCGCTATAACCAAGTTGGTAGGTACTCATCCATGCTAGAAACTTATTTCTAATTTCTGTTTGTGGAGTCGAGTGTTGCCTGCCACTAAATCAATACACAGGGCAGTTCCTCAAGCACTTTTTCAACTCAACGAGTTGTCTAATTGGGCTCAAAATTCTCGTTAAGTAGATTTTGATGGGAATGGACCTCTTTATCTATTATGGTTTCATAATTTGTAAGATCAAGCTATTAATCTTTTAGCCTTAATCACCCACTAAGTAGAAATTGTTGACCGATGTTGTCAAAACCCCAATAAAAAAGATTAAAAATCTTTTCAATCCTTGCCCTGCCATACATGAACATTATCTTTTTAACAGTCAGCTTTCATCAATGTCTCACACAAAGTTTTATGTTAATTTCTAGTCATTAATTCTAATTATAATATGTGGTACTGGTACATATCATAATCTTAAAATTTCCTTAAGTTTTAGACCAATAAGGAAATTCGTTATCTGCAATTGTAATTGAGTCTATTTACGTTAATTTATTACAAATTTCCTTGTCGATTATATACCAAAGTACCGGTAGTGATATTATATGAACATTCGTGTTAAATAATCTTAATTGTATTATTCTCATTTGTTATTGTTTAAATATATAGATACAAATGTTATAGATTGTTTGAAAAACATGGTTAAGTACTGAACAATAAGTCTTTTTTCTGTGTTAGGTGATAAAAGCACAAGTAACAAATAAAACCAGACACCTCCATGTTTAGGTAGTATCTTGTTTCACCCATTCGCCTCTATTTACCTGTGATATAAAGGATTCAGGATTCAAGTCTGTAAGAACAGGACATTGTAATAATATTGTTCACTGTGTCAACATATTTTTGCAGGAATCATTTCTATTGAAGTGAATGGGAAATTGAGTGTGTGGTTTCCAATGGCCTTGACTGATTTATTTATTAGTTAGGAAAAGGGATGGTTATATGTCTTCAATCATCATTTGAATTGTACCATACCAAATTAGTCTCACCAAGTTATGACAGCAATTCAATAGACATTTGCTTTCACAGTGTTACCCTGTTTGTCATTTGTTAGATACAGATATTACAAACGGTTTTATAAATTTAGGTCTAATACTGTACTTATTGTGGGTTTCTCATCGTGATTGATTATAGGATCAACACTAATACTAATATCCTTCTTCAAATCAAATAGTCAATGTTATAGGAAATCAATATTATTTATTACTCTTGGAGTAACTGCTAGTACATGCCATTTTAAATTCTTATAAATGAAAAAAAAATGAAAATGTAAAATTAAAATATTTTAAGAGTATCGCTTATAAGCCTATTTCGAGGCCCGATTTTAAGTTCGAATTATGAATCACGATTATAATCATGGAGTGAAATTTGATAAATGGAACAATCAGTTGGATTACATTTATTAAATAATTGTTGTACATTAGTTTTTGTCTGCAATGGAATTCAAATGGAATTTTAACTAGTTTTTGGTTTTGTTCTAAAATTTTCTGAAAGTAAAGTAGATTTCTAGTTTTTATTTAAATTCTACATAAAATGATTTTCTGGTATTTATGTTTTTTAAATCTTTCTCTGCAAAATCCCTATGATGATATTTTTTGCTGCCATATCATAACCTAAATGTTATATTTTGTCAGGCATTGGTGGATCAATTATACTCGTAAACAATATTTTCATACCCTCGGAAGTCGAAATAGAATCTGATTATGCATGATTTCAATGTATTACACTGTTGGTATCAGCACCTTTTTAACAAAATCATTACACACTTATTTTGACATCTGTTGAATGTATCTCTTCAATTGCTATATTACAATTACCATTCTTAGAAAAATACTTTAACTACTTTCTAAAAAGTAATCCATTTTAGTTCAGCTTACTTTGTTCCTCATTATGTTTAAGCTATAATTATGTTGTTTCGTAAACAATAATTTGTGCATTATAGTATCAGACTACCTAATCTTCTCTAGGGATTAGGTGTTAATTAACTTTATTTAAATTCCATTCATGTGAAAGATATACACCGTGATGATGTTGTTCTTTACCTAATTAAACTCAATGAATGCATATGATCAAGTTATTATTTTATTGTATTTTTTCTTATTAACGGTATTCTAAATAGACTCCTTGATGACATTTTTGAGCTTATCAAATTTTATTTTTGGAAACTATCCAGTAATGATTGATTATTAAAACATGGTCACTATATTATTCCAATGATATTTATCATTTTTCATGACTACACAATCATGATCATTTATTTCACTCCAAATCTTGATGTAAATTTTATAATTCACTGCATCGAAAATTTGGCATAAAAAAGTTACATTTGATCTGTTGCCAATTTTTTGCCAAGACTCGAGTTTTTTCAGATTAGCTTGGTGAGTGGTGACTTAATTTTTTGCAACAAATATAAATATGGAGTTGCGGGGATGTCCAACGAATCGAATGTTGAAATACATTTAAAATTTGTAGCATTCGATTTGTGAATCCTAGATTTTACGAATAGATCTTCAGGAAATGATTATTTTTGGCAATCGACATCTGTCAGGCAATAATAGTCTTCATATAAGTTCTCAAAGCAAAATTAAATAAAACAATACATTTTTCTACATTCTCAAAATTCAATTTAGATGATTATGCGATGGTCTGTATGTTTCTAATTTAAAAAATATGTGATACTCCAAATTTGAATCTATTTTTAAAATAATTTGACAATTTCCGGTCACTTCCCAATATGCTGATCACTATCAAATCTATTACTTATCTTTTACTTTGTACGTAAGAGCTTGCATTTCTTATAGCCAACCAACATCAATACCTATAAGTAACACATGTTAGTATGTTATATCAATGCATGTGGGCAGAAATATTACCTTGTGGGATAGTCAATTTGTCAGGATAATTGGAAACAATTCATAGCCTACTTGGAAATAGACAAAATAACTAATTTATGATATTCAAGCATAACTTGTGGTATTTACGGTTGTCTTGCGCATAGGTCATACTATAAACTGGTAATGTACACTGTTTATTCTGGACGGAAATTGTCAAATATTTTCAAATTTCACATATTGGGTTGGTAGATTTCCATGTATATGGAAACATACTGAAAAATTATTGAGTTTATTGACTATAAATATAAATGTGATTCAATTTTTTTTATCTTCTTTGTGACAAGAGTACTGGTGTTTTCATTTTTGTTGGATTCATAAATGGCACTCCTGATTTTGGCACAATTATTCATGTGACCTACTGTATGTACTGTTGATAAATGAAAAATTGTCAAAACGAACTTTCCTTTAATAACTATGCATTGAATGGCTATGCATTGAAATCATTTTACCATAATTGCTGTTTCCAAATTTTGAACTACCATATTTTTTTTCCGCGGAAAGTTGATATATTACTGATTCTGACAGCTAACATATTTTATCTTGTTTAAAAACAAATTGAATATTATTTTCAGATGATTTAAAGGTCAAAGAACTCATTATGAAACCAGATGTGGCAAATCGAGAACTTTTTATCTCGGATCTCGAGACAACAGATACATATCCTATCTCATGCCTCAGGTGAAAAGTTTTTTCTGATATATTTTAAATTCTACCAGACTAGTTCCCATGAAAATTTGAATATTTTGACTTGATTTACCATGTTATCACACTTGACTAACTGTTATTAATTATTTGCAATGAAATGAATGATAGCAATATTTCTGAAAAATAAATGCTGAAGTTTGTTCAAGTGCTAATTCAAGTATTTTGTATATTGTATAGATCCAGACAACAACAGGTGTATAGACTTGATAAGGTCTTATTTGGTTTAACTTTGTTGTTTGTATGATTCACTGGTTGGTGTGATGAGTTTAGATTGTCCCTTCTAAGAGATATTGATTTTCAAATACCGGTAGTTTGACATTCGAAAATTCTGCTCGACTAATAATGACAAAGCATGATGCCCTTATTTGTTAAGCTTCTACCTAATCGTAGTTTGAAGCGATATTTACCAAAGTATTCAAAAATTGAAATAAATTTGTTTTCCACTTTTTCTCAGTCAGCAATTTTCTTCCCTTTGGGTTAAATTCCCCTTATTTGTTAACCCTAGTCCTTTGTTTTAACATAATCACTGTTTCATAGCAATATGCTGAGTTTTTTAGTTAAAAATTTACATTATTAAAAACTGGTTTTAATTTTTAATTTTTTAAAACTTTGTTTTGAAACATCAAAAATGTATTACTTAGCTTCTTACTCACATATATTTGCCTGAAAACAATTTTCGCATTTTTAGAGGTAAATGTGAAATTAGTCAATATGGAAGCATTTCAGAGATCAAGAATTTCGAACTAAGACCAGATCATTTCTTCTTTATTCTGAGCTACAATCCAGAGACCAGGTAATCTCATTATTTAACAAATTTCAGCCATTTTCGTAGAGGATTTACCTTTCCTATTATTATCTTTGATCTAATCTGTTTTTTTGTTTTGTTTTGTGCAGACGATTGGCAAGTGCCTCAGGGGAGACCACAGTTGGACCTAGCCATCAGTGGAATGCTAGTATGAGAGGGATATTTCAAAAAGTATGTTTTTTTCATGTAGTTTAATTTTCTAAGGATGCCGTTGTATGAGGGCTGTCATAATGCCTTATTTCTAAGAAACGTCCCTATTTTTATTTTAGGGTTAGAGGTTCTTACACCGGGCACTTCAATTAGTCGATTCGAATGATTGATTTGCTAGAAATTATATCAGAACCTTGTTGATTGCTATGCGCATTCATAGTGTAATAACAGCAAATTAACTGTCACAATGACAAAACAATGGCCTACCGACAAAGATCAGTTTATGTAACTTGAATCAAAATACAGTAGTGAATGAGAGCTTTGCAGTTGACGAGTAGAATTATTTAAAATCTGATAGATTTGATAGGTGTATAGCAGTAGCTTACTGATTTATTTTCTAAGAATAAAGAACTGCTGGAGCAAATCCTTTTTAGTGTAAAGTATGATTGGACACAGATCGCACTGGCATGAATGCATTTTGTTTATTAGTGTACATTTCGTTCTTCGTTAACTTATTATTCTTTTTACATGATGTCTATGATGCTGTAGAGAGGCTTTGCCTTTTTTCTTTTTGTTAAGTATATTAAACTGATTTTTCTGCTATCTACTGCTAAGCAACTTTTTGAACACTAAAACATCAAGATTACTCCACATTTATCGACAGCTGATTTTCCATTTTGGTATTTGATCAATTACAATTACTGACGAATCACTGTAAAATTTTTTCTTTTTCGTCTTTCTGATATTGTCATAAAGCGTGTCAAGTGATCTCTTCTGACCTCTGAATCTCATTATTTTATATCATAGTAAATTGTGCCATAGACGATTGAGTAAATTTGATTTCTCTTTCAAGTGTCACGTTCTGGTCGTTTATAATTCATGTTCTTATCTAGAGTATGTTTTCCCAGTGCACACAAGCTGTCTCTTGTGTAAATTTGTTCTGCACGCCCTGTAATATCATTACTTCGAACATTCTACTTAATAAACAGGAAAAATCTCAAAAATATTTGATGAATTCGCATTGACTGTCATATTTTATTCATCATCTTATACTCAGTTTATACTCTATTTGTAGAATAATAGATATGGTGAAAAACTGTGATTTCATCTATTCCAACTTTAGTCTAAAATGCTATTGAGTTTAGTAAATATTATAGAAAGTTCAAGCTATTTCTTTGATCAACTCGTTTCATTAATTCACTTTGCATTATGATTAATTGGATAACTCTTAATATTTTATTTTTCTCCATTTACTGTCAGTGTACCCTAGTGACAAAAATGGTTACTTCCGTAGTATATATACCAGGTTAGTGTTAATAAGCAATAATTTTATTCCGATTTTCCTTATTTTAGTTCTATTACGAGTTCGGGGACTGTCTGTGTTAGCCTTGTGAATATACCCCCTGCCCATAGGTTTCAGTCCCTTTACACAACTTGATATAAAGTAGGCGAACAAAATTAGTTACCTCCATATTGGTACATACACTTCTGGAGCGCCCAGAAATGTCTATGCCGAAAGTCTGAAATATCCCGAAAACTTTTATTTTGAACAGTTTTATTTGGATTCCCCTACCTCTTAAATTTTGTTTAAAAATATGAGCTATGTGGAATTAATTTTATCGTAGTCTAGTCTTGGTATGATGAGAGCAATAACTCAAATTTAATAGACAAACCAGCAAGAATTGATGTGTTTATGAATGCTGAACAAAAAGTTTGAACAGAATTTTAAACAATAAACCTCTTTAAGTAGTGTACAACTATGTATTACATAGGAAATAATCCAATCAATATTGCATGATTCAAAATGTGACTATAAGGCTGATCTTTCCCTCAACTGCTATTTTGATTTGAATATAGCTGTCTGCTTGGAGTAGGGTGGTAAATGATTTATTTTATCTTTTATTATCCCATTCATAATAATTTACTGCACATTGTTGAAAATGAAATAAAATTTAATGTGGCATCGTATTCGTTATACTGTTATTAAATTGAGGGATGTTTAGTATCATACTGATATATATAATACATTAGGCTTTTAAAACAAATTTTGCTTTTTACCAAAAACGAATCATGTCGTTTATAGATAAATTATTTTATTATAAGTGTCATGAAATCATCATATCTTATTAATGATCATATGCCAGTGGTGCTCCTGTGTGTTTTTTTTTTTTTTTAAATTTATTTTTATCTACCGGTAAATGTAAATTAATTTTTTTACATGTCCACAATAATCAGGACAAGATTATATTTATTGTTCTCTCATTTGCCAGAGACCTCTTTGCCATTTTTTATGCATATCATTATTTGCGATTATATGCAACTCATATTGTAGTTGTGTAGCCCAAAGGACATTAGATATATTGATGTTATACATTTGAGATGAGATTTTAATATATGCAATCTATTGGTGGATTCTGCTTTGTAATTAATTTTGATTTGAAATATTCTGATGGATATTTTCCCACAAAATCAGATTATATGTCTAAATTTAGGCTGCGTAAAAATGGCAAACGTGTTTTCATCCCAATTTTGACTGATTGCATGGCATTAAATACAAATTTGATTCAAACTGAACTTCTTTTTATTCAGTACGTGATTTTCACATTCAATTGTAGCTTTGATATTTTTTCATGAAAATTTATCGTAACAAAAAGTATTTTTCAATTTTAGGCGGAATTACCTGATGTGATGCCACTTTCGGAACGTGGATACGAAAAACATCGAGTTTATGAAGAAATGACTTGGGAACCAAAAGTCAATAAATGTGACTTGATTATGTGTCTACGTGCCGCTAGGTAGGATATCTAGTAGATTGCAGCACTTGTGTTCAACATTTTATATCTTTATTATGATGAATTACACTGTTCCATTTGCATCTTATATACAAATTTTCGCTCAAAACATGGCTTTGTACAAGCTGCAAATGCATCTCAAAGGTGGTGATAGCTAAACGAATAAATGACAAAATAGCAAAATTTTCAGTTACCGGTATTAGTGTAATTCGGTTATTACGGTAGTGTAAAATATTCATACCTTTAGGAGTTTAGCTGCTTTTGCTGGAGTTTGTGATGGTGTTTCACCAGAGGAAGGATGTATAGTTGCATCAAGAGATGATACCACGATCAATGCATTACGTGTGGTGAGTGGCTTTTATTATAAAATTATCAAGTACAATTTGAAAAGAAAATCTTTTTAATATTCTGATACTTCCTATATTTTAATTTTAAACATTTTTGTATCTATTCATTGCTAATGGATCAAGACTTGTCACTAATCGCCCTCTAATATTGGCCCGGTTTATTGGTTTATAAATTTGTAAACTAATTATATTATCTTTTGTCATGTTTCGTTTGTTGGGTAAACATCTTAATTAAGAAATAATAAAGAATTGTATTCTTTGTCTATCATTTTCACTGACTCATAATTGTTTTATCACAGCTGTATGAAAACAATGGAAATCCCAGAAAAGCGATCGACGCTCTTGTGAAAAATCCAGTTCCAATAACGATTGAGAGCAAATGGACCGAAGAACAAGTTGTAAGTGACTGTTTTTAACCCCTTTGCTGTTGCTTTCAATAGGATTTTTTATATTGCTTGCATCCTGTGTATAAGGTGTTTCACTCGGGTTAATCTTCATTGTGACTTGTTGTCCACATTTGAAAAGTTTTGTATTTTTACTCAGTCCGAAGTGAAGGTGAAGTCTAGTTTTTGCCTTGATTTCAGATGCAATGCTCAGAATGACACAATTTCAATTGAAAATATTTTAACTACTTCTGAAATCAAGAATTTACTGTATCGAAAATAACCAATTTTTGAGTGTATTTGAATACTCAATTAAACATCCCTGATGCCAATCTTTTAGTTCATGTTTTAGGCACAAGTGGAACAAATATAATATAGGGATTTGTTGTTAGGTGATTCTGGGAACCCAAATTCATGAAATACAATATTTTTTTAGTCTGCTGTAATGTCGTTGTAAAGTTATATCAAACTGCAAAGTTCCAACCACCCCATGATGATAGATTAGTGCAGCTGGACTAAATGTTGATTTTCATGCTTTTTGAATATAGTGGAATGAGCCACACATATTTTTGTAGCATTTGCACTTTATTGAGATTTTATCAACTTATTGCTTATGACATCATAATAATATGTTATACTTAATTTGAGGTTTCTCAATTACATGTTGGGATAGAGACCATCAGACCACCCACGTTTATTTGTGCTAGCGAATCATTGGTTTAGTCAGAAATCCCTGTGGAGAATAATATGGTTTAGAATATTTTTCAACAACCATCAATAAGGGCTGACATTATTTACAGAATTTGGTTATTCAATTATCAAAATTAAATAATTTTGGAATAATAAGTACCGGCACCATTAATATTATTGTCGATTGTAATTTGTTATTCTTATAAATAGCAATAGTCATGGTGTATTTGTTTATTATAGTTAATTATAGTTATTATTAAATTATAGTTAGATTACCCATTTTTGGACCAAATCTGGTCATTGCCAAGTTAGTTTTAAAGCTAATAGTAGAAAATTTTCATTGATTTTGTCATTTTAGTTTAATTTCCTATTTTTGGTAACATTTCTGGCACCTCTCACTTCTCAGTAAATATTTCTCTTTGTTAGTAAGTTTTTATTTATCCCTCATGATGCCCCTTTGTATTCATGAAGCCAGATGGCTGTATAGTTTAACAGCACCCACCTGTCTTTTAGCGAGTGTCTCATTTACTTTATTTCTTCTTTCTTTGGATATAATCCTGGCTAATGTCTCTCCCTAGTTTTCTATTGTCTGTCATCGTTTGGAATAGGCTACTTAATCGCGGGATTGGTTGCCACACAATTTTCCACCAAATGAAAAGTTTTTTTTTGCTTGTACATACTTGGTCCGGTCTTATATTTTTGAAATAATTCATAATGCTGGGAATAACAATTGCTTCATGTTTTTTTCTGCTTGCTTAATTGTATATGAAGGTATGTTGTTGAAAATTCACCCCTGAAAAATTTGGTAGTTTATGGATAATCTGTCGCTATGTTTTATTTCTATATGTTACTTGTGCCTGGCGCGCTATCAACATAACTCAACATCAATTTATCAAATAAAATTATTTAGAAATCAATAGGAAAATATATCACAAAATGGCCTGAAATTTAGTTTTTCCATAATATCATTTCAAAAAAGCCGTTTCAGCGTTTATCGTTCGTTCGCTGCATTTACGCCGAATTTTGGCAGCACGATTACTTATTGTTAGTTACGGTATTGAGTTTACAATTCTTCAACTTTTTTTCTAATATGCACACTACGTTTTTAACGCTTTTGGATTCCATCTGTAAACTAAACCATCTGTAAAACCGCTAAAGATATGGCGCTGGTATACTAACCAGCGACTTCATAAATTACGATTAAAAGTTGTTTCATATAACTGGCAGTTGGCATTGAGATTGACTGATTAAGATTGTTCGATTTCCCTCTGGGACCTGAAAATCGATATATATGCAGTTTTTATTTTCAATTTATATAGATAGGCTACACGAAATAATGAACGTTTCACAGATAGCCATACGGACCCATAGAAGTGTCCAATACAAATTTGACACCTGGAGTAGAAATAGACCCCAAGTTAACCTCATGGAGTATTATATGGCATGTCAGGCGTGGCATGACTTTTATTCAGATAATTATTTGATCATTTTAATATGATGTATTCAAGCCGAATGCGAAAACAAGTTTCCGCCAGCTCTGTTGGAATGTGTCGCTTTTTTAACTCGTCATTCAATTTTGTCCAAAGTGTACCCCTATTATTTATGTGCACCAAAGTCAATTTCTCTTGGCAAAAATAGCAGGAATTTAGTCTTGCAACCTTACATCATTTTTTTGTTGTTGACTGACGACTTTTGGCATCTCTTATTTTCAAGTAGCTATGCAAATCCTTTAAATCTCGTCAGTAGTTGAAGGGAGCAACGCTAATTGCTTACGGGGAAACCTTAATCTTATTTTACGCGCGGGGTCGTGGTCGGGGTCGCACTTAAACAACTCGTTGAAAAACGGTCCGTTGATCTGTAAATACTCGAAGGCGACCGCGAGGCTTTGCGCTTGTGTAGAGTGATAACAAAACTGGCAATATGATAGATACGGATTAAAGAGCGACGCCGGGGGTCATGTTTTCTATCGCAGAAAAGGCCGACCCAACCACTGAAAAATTAACTCACAACAGCATTGGTAAAAACGGAATAAAATTACGCGCTTTTCACTGTTGCGGTAAATATAGCAAAAGGTAGCATATTCCTAAGATTGCAGTCAAACACGAGACAATTTTTTAGAAAATGAAATCAAGCTGTAAGCGCTATGTATTTTCCAAATCGAGGCAGCAAAATTTTATTCAAGATCTGAACTATACAGATAAATGCGTATTCATTTTAACGACTATTTCTGAAAGTGTGTATTTGGGAATTATGAGACAAAATACTTGTATACAAATTCCGAATTGTTTGCCCACTATGTCTGCGCATACACAGACCCAATTTATATGTCAAAACTATTTAACTTTTTGTTTTACCTATGATAACACTTGAAACGCTAGTTTGACCCCACCCAATGTAACACAATACGACTTCAATGCCCATTTTTGGACTTGGCGGAAAAAATAACAGTATCGAATACTCATGCTTTCAAGTTGCCGTGTCGAAATTGAAACAAAATTACCACTTGTTTGCTTGTTTCATGGAGTAGGGATTTATATTGAATAGTTTAACATTCTTGAATGGATACTATGTATTTATTTGGTATCAAAATTTTGCACACAAAATAATAAAATTTTACATAGTAGAAAAATTGTTAAAATTTGTAGAGAAAAAAAGTACATTTTTGATTATTTTCTATTAAAATAAGACCTAGGTATTTTTGTAATTTTACAAATGTTGATCCCCAAAATGTATCGAATAACACATACAACTTTTAAAGAGATTTGCTTAAAGCAAGGTTTGGAAGTATAGAAGACTCATATCTGAGTAATCTTTTTTGCGACCACTCAAATGCCAAAAGTAGCAAGTTTAGATTGGAGTAATTACTATGCTGATTGGATTGGTTGATCACCGTTTTATCAGTTGAATTCGACAATATTAAGTTATTGGCATACGCGATGATCAATCTTACATTTCTCAGTATCTTTTAAGAAAATTACTATTGTTTTATGATTCCCGTGGTGATCTGCTTCGTAGAAGTGCTACATCCGCGACTTATCTCGTATTTATTGTCCATTATACCGATTTAAAATTCGATGGTGTATATTTCACAAGCTTCCACAATAGCCTTTTCGTCATTGGGCATTAGTATCTCCCATCAGAAATTTACACTAATCGACTAATCGTTCTGATATATCCTGAGATTATGTTACGCTTTTAAGCTAATCCACCTTGACAAATCACAGACGTAGCGTTTTATGGTTTAATTCCATTAAATACCCGCTATCAAATACCAGACCTAATAAAATGGGTAATTGTTTATCATTTTGAATCATTTCAGCAACAAAATTCGGAGCGTATGGCTGAAATAAAATTGTTATACACCTGTTTTCTTATTGAACTAGTCGAACAACCAAATATAGATTTAAAAAGGATTACTTTTACTTTGTGATAGCCTAGCCCTAGCGCATAAGTTCTGAAAGTGCTCCATACAGAATCCCAGGGCTGCGTAAGAAAAAACGGAGCGCTCGCGAGCAATTTGTTTACTTATGGAAATACTGTAACTGTCCAAAGAAGCAATAACGGCATTAATAAAATATTTTTTCAAATACAAAGCAGCAAATACATCCGGATCTTTAAATAAAGTAATTTCAGTTTATTCAGGAACATCTATCAGTGAGTAACAATGTGTTTTTTGTTTTTATTTTTATAAATTTGATGTTGGACTTCATAAATGATAGTTAACACTCCTCACTCCATAACACCAGAAGCTTGAGACCTAGCAGATAGATCAGAGGTTCTCAACCTTTTTTCTTCCTGACCCATTTTCACTGCACAAAAACCTTTTGTGCCCTTTTTTAAAACTTTTTTAAACAAGGGTAAAACTACAAGAAAAGCAAAAAAAAATGACCGAAAAGATAGACACTTTCGCTTTACTAATTAGAGTGAAAATTACTCCGCAATAGCAAAAACAGCATCAGTATTCATTGCCACTACAATCAAAATTTGACTACAGGGACGCAAATGAAACTGAATCTATCAAGAACAATAACAATTTTTATTATGAATGTGACCTCGCAATGGCAACGTCGAAGCCGCAAAATTCCGGCTTTTTCGGAAATATTACTTTTTCTATATCAATGGGTTCTTCTTCTTACACAGAGCTTTGTTCGTGATGGGGTGTTTGACTCAAGTAAATTTATTTTATACAACTGGCGTGTCGATAATCGCTCATTGACTTTCATGCTCCCGCTTTATCGACAAATTCGGCATTATTAATTAATAGCGCATTTATCTGTGCTAGCGACAGCAAAATAGGATGCAATGTCTCAGTTGAAAATCAATAT